ATTATCATAGGAACAGCGTCGAAACTTTATGCTCAAACCTCTGGAAATAAAAAAAAAATAATGTTGACATTGTGTCTTCGTAAATTATCAATGGAGATAGAAACTTGTAGAACGGATCCTCACGTCATAAACCAGAGTTAAATGCGACGAAAGTAAACTGACAGATGTAATTATGAAATGGAAATGTTTATTTCTCTTTTTTCCTTTTTTTTTTTGGCTGTGTATCACTTATTTTATCGGAAAAGCGGGAATATGGAAATTTAAGTTTCAATGTTGAAAAAAACAAAACTTACTGTCATTTCATTAAAGTCTCGCCATTAAGCCTATTGTATCATCATGCAAGAAAGGGGAAGCTGTCACATTTCATTAGTCGAAACATGGGAGCATTTTCATTGTAAACTAGAAATCAAAATCACCTCTCGCTCTATCAATCAACCTCTCTCTCTCTCTCTCTCTCTCTCTCTCTCTCACACACACACACACACACACACACACACACACACACACACACACACACACAGAGACACACATATTTATAAGGTTCTACTGCAACGGGATAATATATATATATAGGAGGCACGGTGGAGTAATGGATAGCGACTCGGATTGAGGAATCGGAGAGCTGAGTTCGAATTCCAGTCGAATCCATTACATTCACTTACGTTCTTCTCCCTCCAGCTATAGGTATATAGCAGGACAGATTGGGTTCTATAGCCTTGGATGGCACTGGTCTAGGAGAAGGACAACTCTGAATTCAAAAACCAGATCTCTGTATTCGGCCCTTGAAAAAGTGTGGATGGTCCAGAACGAAACCATCTCCACTATATTCAAATCTCATGTGCTGTTGTCGGTTTCCTAAGACTTGAACATCCTATGTCGATAGGAGAATCGAGTATATATATATATATATATATATATATATATATATATATATATATATATATATATATATATATGTGTTTTGGTGACTGTGTTTGTTTGCCAAATAATTACATAGCAACTGTATATACGTGCGTTATGCATACAGAGGTATGTGAATAAATATTTACTTAATTTAATATAAGGTATAAGCAAAATAGTGCTCACGTAGTTAGACAGATCGAAGAAATATATATTTATAGTTTCGTGATTTTACCAATTCATCAGGCACGATGAGTAATCTAAACCACGAAACTTTAAGTTTGCAATACGAAAGTAGGTATCTGTATATATATATATATATATATATATGAATTTCTTGTTTATACGTTATTTTTATTGATATAATTAATTTAAGTAAATGCTCTCTCTCTCTCTCTCTCTATATATATATATATATTCGTATATATGTTTATTTGTATATAAACATTTGTATATATATATATATATATATATATAGTTGTATATTTCAGCAGCAATCCTTCCTTTATGCATGTTTCATTAAAAACGACAGACAGGGTACTACGGTTAAGCTTTTTATTACATTTTTCTTGTGTTTTAACAAGAGCTTTCTTTTCTGGACAAAGGGTGTGTAAGAATTGCCCAAATATTTTATACTTCCGAGCGCTTTCGGCTATACCTTTAGCCATTATCAAGGATGATTTGATTTTTCAGTTTAATTGAGTGTGTGCGTTCTGTGTATGTGTTAGTGTGTGGTAGGGATGTTTTTAATTTCCGAATACGGTTAGCACACTGTGGCTTTGTTCGTAGTCAATATAGTTAAGAGTTGGCTTTTTCTTTTTTATTATTAAAGCTTCCATTATTTTTAGTCTTTTTTTGGAGGTGGATGCAGTTAATATATTTGTGTTTTCTACTAGTATGTTCCTAATGGAGTTGGGTAAATTTGTGTGTGTGTTTAAATTGGTTCTAATGGAGCTGTGATCAGATAGGTTTAACGTAAGACGTCTGGATAAGCATGTGGTTGTGTAACCGATGTAATTATTTATGAGTCCGGTTTGATCAGGAACACAGTTCATTAAGGGGCATTTGAATTCATAGATAATGTTCGTTCTTTGTAATTTTGACTTAGTTGGTGTGTTGTTATTTCTGAGGATAAGGTTGGCTGTCTTAAAATTTTATAATAGATAATAAATTTGATTTTTTTATTCGGATCAATTGGAGTAGTATATTTCTTTATAATATGCCTTAGAGAAGATTCGGCTTGTTTGTAATTAATATGCATTTGGTTTTTGCAATAAATGTGTATGTGATTTTTGGCTGTGTGTTCGCTATCGTTATTACTTGCTTTGGGGAGAAATAGTCTAATTTGGTGGTCTATAAGGTGGTTAGGGAAGCCGTTGTTGATTAGCGTTTGTTTAACGTTATTAAGTTATTTGAGGAAGAGTAGTCGAGAGGATGAGTTCTGGCGTGCTCTATTTAGAAAGTTTTTTTATTACTGCTATTTTGTACCTAAGTGGACATTCGCTTTTGAAGTTAAGGTGGCATGAGTTTTTGCTGGTGGGTTTTTTGTATAATGATGTAATAACAGTGTTATCGCTGTATTCAACGAGGACATCTAAGAATGGAAGTTTGTTTTTTTGGCTAAGTTCATAGGTAAAGTAAAGGACGGAGTTTTTCTCAAATGTGGTCTTAAGTGTCTCTATTTCTTTAATGTTATTAGCTAAACTAAAACATATCGTCTACGTAGCGAACATAGATTTTCGGTTTGCGGACCTGTGTAAATATCGTATTTTCTACGTAGGACATGTAATATTTGGAAAAGCATGGACTGAGTGGATTTCCCATACTAACAACATTAGTTTGGCTGTAAATATTGCCATTATGGTCATAGAATGGAACTTTGGTTGTGCAATGCGTGAGTGGCACCATGCATAATTAGAAAACTGAAAAGAGATATTCATAAATATATGATTTGTTTTTTACGGTTTGTCAACCATTTGATAATTATTTAGAGCTGAAAAATATTTGGGTTTTGAGAATAATTCTTTAATTGCGTTCAAGCGATCTGGGAGAAAGAAAGAAAAGAAGAGGAAGAGGAAAGAAAGGAGAAAAATAAATAATACGAAACCAGGTCGTAAGCGAAAACACACACGCTCGACTGACACATATCAGATGTCAAAAATATCAGGTCAAGCACCTGACCTACTTCCGTGTCCACGAAAAATGGAAGTTTGTTATCAATTGGTTGGAGAAACGAATTTTAGGGACAATGAAAAAAAAATATTGATAAGTAACAAATGAAAAGGGTGTCATTGAGATGATAGTAAAAATCTAAGGGGATGGGGAAGTGTATCTAAGGATATGAAAACAAAATCATTAATACGAAAAGCCAGACAATTTCTAGAGTTGGAAAAAAAAAACCCAAGGTGATGTCGTTTTTTGAGATAATACAGATTTTATTATCGGCCGGAGGAGAATGAAATATTTTGTGCGTTCAGAGAAACGCCAATAGGTCTGAGAAATCCCTTTCTTAGATCGTATCCAATTAGCGATAGGCTGTTTAACAGATACCGCGTGTGAAGGAAGCCGAGAGCGTCATTTCGGTCACGTACGAAAAGGACAATTTAAATTTTTGTTTTTTTTTAACAAGGTGTTTCTCCCCAGAACAAAGCCACGGATTGACCACGCCCGATTAAAGACGTCACGAAGGAAGGAGGAAAGATACCGACCAGAGTCTCATTGGCCGAAGGCGGTCACATGATACATGAGGGAGGAGGAGAGACACCGACCAGGACCCCATTGGCCGAGAGCGGTCACATGATGTGCGAAGGAGGAGGAAAGATGCCCGACCAGGACCCCATTGGTCGAGAGCGGTCACCTGTCATACGAAGGACCAGGGGAAGCGGGTATACGCCCCCCCCCCAGAGGCACAGTAAGGAAGTAGGAGTGAAAGTAAGTTACCGAAAATGGAAAATCCCTAATCAGAAATAATGCGTATTTAGGATTATCAAGAAAACCCTGGCGCCGACAGACCCACCCCAGTTTTTTACGGCGTCAATAAAAGCGGGACCCCAACCGACAGAAATCAGTTGCAGCGCGGACGGCGGGCCCGGTTCATTCGCCCCTTTGCGGGCAAGAAAGGCCGGTTCGTTTGGCCTAAGAAGAGAAATTCGTCCAACCCAAGTCGAAGTGAGAAATTCGTCCAACCCAAGTCGAAGTGAGAAATTCGTCCAACCCAAGTCGAAGTGAATAAGCTCGTCCAACCGAAGCCGAAGAGAAGAAGTTAATTCGCGCACTGACAGCGGAGATGAGTGAACAATAATTCAGACTCTGAAGAGAGAGTTAGTTGCAGCCACGGACGGCGAGAGAAATCAGCCGTGAACGACAGGTAGAGATCAGCGCCCAGTGTTGAAACCAAACCACACCTCGAAATGCAAATTTCTAGAGAGCAAGCAACTCGAAGCCTTAAAGTTGTATGGTAGAAGCGTGGTGCCACGGTCCACAGAACGGGTCGGGAGGTAGGAATAATCTTGTGTAACGAGCAAATAGATATAAAAAGTTGTTACCTTTTCTTCAATATTTTTTACCTTGTGAGTTTTATTTTTCTTGTGTGTTATCACCTCCGTTGGACTCAGCTTGCACACGGCCCAATCCCTGTTTGATCCCGTCTGTCTAAGATCTAATCACAACGTGGGTAGACAGACCGGAGATCAGTGCAGTTACCCTGGTAACCAGGCGTTGGAAGCGGGTTGGGAACGACGAGGCTGATATTCATCTAGCCAAAGGGTTAGAACGTCACACTTGGAGCAGCGAGGAGCGAACAGCTGGCGTCGCGAACGGGATCGAACGACACAGTCGACGCTGCGACCAGGGGGAACGACGTCACAGTGTAGTCATTTTTTTAGGATGGATGGTTTGATGGATGGCGGAGGGATGGAATTATTAGTATATATATATATATATATATATATATATATATATATATATATATATATATATATATATTTCATTAAATGCGGTTAAGTTTTTTATTTGATTTTTTTATCCTAATTAAGCTATAGTCAGAGATTTCAATTATTTTTTAGCCTTTTCTTTCTATGTGGATTATCATTATTTATTTCATGCCCAACTGCTTTATCTATCTATCTATCTATCTATCTATCTATCTATCTATCTATCTATCTATGTATCTATCTATCTATCTATCTATCTATCTATCTATTTCAGTCTGTTCATATCTATCTATCTATCTATTTAGATAGATAGATAGATAGATAGATAGATTGAGAGAAAGAGATAGAGATATAGATAGAAATAAACAAATAAGGTAGCCGAATTAGAAATGGATCTATGGTATATTTTAAGGTGGCCCTTAGCCATAGTTAATTTTCCGAAAATTAAAACATTCTCATCATGTTCCAATCAACAAAAAAAAAAAATGAGTGTAATGTTTCAGCTCGATTTGAGACACTGCATGTAGCACTCAAACACCTTGAAGTTGTAACATACGCAACGATTAATTCCATTCATAAGCTGTGTACTTTTCCCTATCAAGCTTGCTTTCTTTTATTCTTAGAGAGAATTCATGTGGAGGCATCCAGGCAAAGGCAGTAAAATATTAAAAGGTTCTGAACCAAATTTCTCAATGGTTAATTTGAAAAAATTCCGGAAATAACATGAAGAATGTAAGAAGTATTTAGTTTTCTTAATATAACACACGACTTCTATCAGAGAAACGCATTTTTTAAACAATAATTACTTTGAAATCAAAAACATAACGTGAACCCTTCTCATTGAACATTTTATTTACAAAACAAAGGAGTTAATTGCTGTTGTGTATGTTTTAAGGTTTTCGGTAACGATCTGTAAAATAGAATTGTTTCACAGTTTTCTCTTTTGTGAGAATGTTATTGTAATCTTGAATGAATTTGACACCTCTTTCTGCAACGCCATTCACAGCAACTGTCATCTCAAGTTTTC